TCCGTCCAGACGAACTGACGCGGTTTGTTGGTCAATGCTGTGCGCACAGGTACGACAAGAAGATGCCCAAGAAGATTGACGTGGGGTAAGTTGCTGTTACTGCAATTGACAGGCGTGTTGGTGGTGACTGGTGGTGCTTTTGTGGTATGCTACAGAACTTACCAGTCGAACTTGCAGAAGATTGCCAATTTCAACACGGTGGAGGACTTCTGGCGGTGAGTACGCGTTGAGTTCGGGGTGGCGAAGCTGAGTGACGCTGATGATGCTCTTATTTTGCTTGCCGGTTCCAGCCACTACATCCACGTGAAGCGTCCGTCGCAGCTGAGTCGTGATGTGAACCTTTATCTGTTCCGTGACCAGCCGAACTGCGCGCCGATGTGGGAGGCTTTCCCTCAGGGTGGCTGCTGGATCCTCAAGATCAAGAAGAAAGCCAACGTACTCGGTAAGATGTGGCAGGACCTGGTCTTTGCCGCCATCGGTGAGGCTTTTGAGCAGCTTGACGTCGTGGGCATCGCCATGGCCATCCGCTCCAAGGAGGACATGCTGTCTGTCTGGAACGCCGACAACTCGGACGACAACACCCGCTTCGCTATCGGGTGCGTGTTGGGCTGAGCCTTACGGGCTTTGACTAGTGGGTTTCTAACCATCTCGTCTTGATATGTTGCAATAGTGAGAAGCTGAAGGAGATCCTCATGCTTGATTCCAACACGCTGGTGGAGTACAAGTTCCACGCTAACTCCATCCGGGACATGTCGACCTTCCGCAACGCGAAGCCCTACGTCTTCGCCGCTGCGACGCCGGCCACGACCAACTAAACTTTAGATTCTGTGCAAAGGTCCTGTCTACATACCGAGCAGCTGTTCGGCTGCAAGCGAGTTACATGAACTGCGCGTCAGGGTCGGCCACGACGTCAACGCAATAGAAAGCGGCGAAACCATACGCGTATATTCGGGTATGACACATGATGCTTTTCTTTTTTTGTATTTGGGTTCATTACTACAATCTACCGTTGGTAATCTACTACTACATGTACTACCCATGCCCCCTACACTGCTAGCAACAGATTCTGATGAATCGTGAGGAACTTCAAAATCACTCCGTTCGTCCAGCCGAAGCCGAACTGCGGGAAGTATTCACCACCAGCGCCCAAGCCGCCGATCTCGGATGCGTTGTACTTCTCGAAC